CAAGGACACTATCGTCCTCGTCCCTGCTCGACTTGCGGCGATGCATGTGTACAACAGCTGTTTGGACGATTCTAGGGCTGGACATATCCTAAGAAGGCGACCAATGCTATCAATTGGGTGATGGATCAGAAAGTGTACTGCCAGCACCGAGCGTAAGCCAGTCGACGATTGGGAGCACGATTATTCCACCGCCAGCACTCAACCAGCCGATCCGGTTGTAATGACAGAAAAAGATACAAAGCCTAGTCGTCCACAAGCATCATCGAGATGAATTGTCCAATGCTGCAGTTTGGTGGTGGAAGTGAAGCCAAAAGTGGTGAACTGTACTATGTAAGGATACTCAGCAGGTGCTTCGTATGGCGCACGGAGGGGTTTGTAGACGTGCTCTAAGGCTGCCGTTACAGAGATCAACTATCATAGCGATGATACATTGAGCATTTGTATCAGCGTGTACGTATTCTGCTAGCCATCAAGGTTTGGCCCCTCTCGAACAATGCCTCCCTAACTAAAAGCCAATCCATCCACGCCATTTCCCCCTTCCCCATGAGCTTCTTGCGTATGAGCTCGAGATATTCGGAATCCTGCATGATGATGGCGTCGCTAAGGTCATTCAGCTTGCCCTCATCATCTATGCCTGCATCAAGAAAAGCCTTCGTGTATCGCCTCCTTGAGCGTCGGAGGTGACGAAGAAAGGTGGAGATGACGTCGGGACCGTTTGCTGAACTTGCAATCTCGAGGGATCCCTTGGTGTTCTGCTGACTGTAGCACATATGTCGCACCATCAATGCATCCCACATTGTGTCCCTGTGATCTTGATCAAGGTCCGCAAGCTCCACTTTGCCATATCTCCGCTTCGTCTCAATACGGGTAGTCATCCACTTGAAGAACACCCTCCATCCCACCGGCCCATATGCTGTGAAAACATGCATGTCTTGTGTTTTCCTGCAACCAAATGCCATCAAGTAATCCCCAACGAACTCGAACTCGGATGCAAGATTCAGTTCGTTTCGGATGAACGATTTGACTGGGTCGTCTATGATGACCATCGCTCGGCCATAAGCTATGTCCGGGAGTGTCACAACAGAATCGGTCAGTGTAAGGACACACAAGATAGGTGAGTGCCACGCACTAGATGAATACCACGCTTTCCGCTTATCCTTCCGCATCTGCTGTTCACGCTCGGCACCGAGAGTGTCGGTATGATGATCCTAAGGTACGTCGAGACAGTGAACTGGGCATCAAGAAAGTGCAGGTACCTCTCGTAGTTTGGCAGTTGTCATTAACTGACCCATGATGCATGAGTATTGAGTACTGAGTCCTGGGGCGCTGCGGCTGATAGTGGTCTGCGATATCGCGATGACCGTACACGTACACGTGACGAGGAAGCTCAAGATCTTGGCCACAACGCACTTGATGGCTCGCCTGTACTCTGCTCTGACTCGTATCCTGCTCTCTCTGACTCGTATCCTGCTCTGCTTTAACCCTTTTCCTGCTCTGAGCGGCACTCGCTATTTCAAAGTCGAAGGACGATCTTAACAAAATATTGAACCACGAGCAGGGCTTTGTCGCATGCATGCACCGCCTGTGCCGAGAGCAGTACGTGCTTGTCCCTCGAATACCCGAGTTTGTCTAACCTTCGTCTGCTCTCGTCCCAGATTTGCCCAGTCTGTTGCGGAAAAACCACCGCAGGAGCCGTTGACACCAGAGTTGGAGGCGCTAAAGATGGAGCGTGATACTTGGGCACTGGTGCAGGTACTGATGTTGTGAGTACCGCCTGGTTTGTTTCTGATGTCCGTCGTCTCTTGCACGGTGCATAGGGTGGGATGCCATGTGTAGTGTCCCGGACCGAGTAGCGGATGAGTCACGTTCAATTACATCTATTGTGGGCACTCTTTGAAAGACCCAACACAGATACACATGCATTTCGATCAATTGTACAGTTCGCGATCTACAATTTAGCCTTCGTCACCCCTTGAATCCAAGCCGCCAACTCGCAATTGACCTCGTCTGGAGCCTCGAGCTGCACCCAATGCCCTAAATCAAACTCCTTCACGGTCAAATCCGGACAAAACTCTTTCATACGCGCCAGTGCCAGCGCCGGCACGCAGACGTAGTCGCGCTTTGCCGCGCCGAAGAACACTGGCTGCGTGATGGTCCGCCTCGACTCTGGTATCTCTGTCGCACGTGTCGGATGTAAAGCGGTGTGACGTTTTAAAGAATGGTGGAGCGTACGCTTGTCGTCTGAGTCAGCAATACCGTCGAGCATGATCCGGTACCAGTTGAAGGCGCCTTTGAGGCCACTGGTAAGGACGGCGGTCGAGATGGCGTTCTTGTCCTGTTTCAAAGGTCATCAGTGTGCAATGACCATAGAGAGAGATTAGAACTTGCAGTCTCGGTCAGGTAGGATGGAGATGGAGCAATATCCCCGCTTAACAGGTATGCTTTGATGCCGCCTCGAGGGCATAGGTGCGTGCGCCAGATGCTGCCAGGGTCGGATGGGTATAGGAGACTGAAAAACGACTCCCACTGCGCAGAGAGATGAGTCGGTCAGTCGAGATTTGAAACTGTGACCATCAAATCACATACATGGTCTTTGATTATCCGGTCTGCTTCTTCATCCCTCACAAAGAACCTGTACACGATTGGATTAGTGAGCATCCTCGGAAGACTTGCCGCTACGTACTCCCAGTATCCGTACGCCTCATATCCTAAGACTTGTTTGGTGCCAGCCAATGCAGCCTCGTAGTCGAAGGGACGGAGGGGGGCATGTATCCGACAGCCAGGAACGCGAATGCGAGGAAGCGTTCCGGGAAGTAATTCGCGAGACGCGACACCAAGGCACACCCCCTGCACCCATTCCAGAAAACGTGAGTCCAACGGTATTCTAACAGGGCACGTCGTACCAGTCGTGTCCGATCGCGATAGCCTTCTCGACATCCTCGGCATCGAGGATGTCAATGATATCCTTACTCATCTCGCTCTGCTTGTAGAGCAATGGATCCAGCGGCTCCAGAGCCAAGCAGATCAGGCGCGATGATACCGTATCCTTCCTTGGCGAAGAATTGAACCTGAAGATGCCAGTCGTACGCAGTGGAGGGGAAGCCATGAAGCAGGAGCAAAGTTAGACTAGAAGGCTGTCCAGTCGAGACAAAGTAGCTGTAGTTGATGCCGCGGCGCGTTTTGAGTTGCTTCAACGAGGTGGGATCCATCGCCATGTCGGTGCGCTGCTAGCAGACAGCAATGTACAGTATGGTCGGGGAATCATGCATATATACTAAGACGGCCGCTCCGCCGATGCCGTTCAACCTTGTTTCAGCCTTGCTATCATAGTAACGGCGAGTAAGGATCTCCGGGAGCCCGCGCAAGTTAAAGGATTGCCTTGTCTGCCCACGAGAGATTGGCGGCGAGCATGATCACAGGTGCAAAGTGGTTGATGCGATCAGAATCGCGGGTTGACTACTGCCACACGCATTGCGCAAGTCCTTTCTTCCTTCAGCAGTGCACCTGGCCGCGCAGGATAACCAGATCGATACAAATGGCTTCTCACCTTAAAGACGTCCTGCTCGTTGGTTTCGGCGCGGTAGGTGCAATATGTAACCAGCACTCGTTATCTGCTTTCCCAGTCATCTGAGCCCTCCTGTGGTAGCACAGATTCCTTAATTTTGAAGAGAAGTGGCGTTGCTCGGGTCACTGCCGTAGCAAGGAGTAATTACGATGCCGTTAACGGTCCGTATCGTCATCTTGTACAATGTGATCTCGGAGGCGGCCCTGACGTGAGACCAACGCGAAGCTCACGGGTTATACATCAAGAGCCGCAAGTATGGCGAGCTCCAGGGCTGGAAGCTCACGGGTTATACATCAAGAGCCGCAAGTATGGCGAGCTCCAGGGCTGGAAGCCAGATAGGCGTACGTGTACCATCCTCCGTTCTGTCGGAAGTCACCCCGCATTAACCGATCAATTACTGAAACAGTTTTCCCGTCTGTCGCGCAAGCCCTCGACCGCCCATACTCTTATGTCGTTATCACGACAAAGGCGATCCCTGAGCTCATACGCACCTCGACCCTTTTGGAACCTCTGCTGCAGCCCGAGTATGCCGACAAGTATCCGCAGCCGACATATGTTCTGATGCAGAATGGCCTCAATGTCGAGGTCGATCTGTACCATGCGCTGAAGAAGCTTAATGCCTCCGAAGAGCCCAGGATCATCAGCACTGCTGTTTGGATCGGCACGGGCATGCTGAACAGCAACACCGTCGAACATTCTGAATTTGTTAGTTTTTTTGACCCACCTACGGCTCTCAATATTCATATACTGATCGCTTGCTTCGCCTTAGGATCGCGTATCGCTAGGCATGTACCGCCCCACCACGACTAACACCGAAAACACGCCCGAAGAAACTGCCATTCTCGAAGACTTCGCACACATCCTCGCAGCGGGCGGTACCGAGACGACCGTCGTCCCCGAAATCCAACGCGTCAGATATTCCAAAAACTTTTGGAACGCCTGCCTCGGTATCACAGCCGCCCTCACGCGCTTTCCGCTCACCGCAGTCTTCCGCCCACCACACCTCGCGCCCGGCGCCTCGCAGACCGCTCCTCCCCCTCCCGAGCCAAGTAGCCCATCCCAAGAGCCGCAGACGCCCTCGGCTCTCGCCACCGCCGACATCCCCAGCGCGTCCCCCGCCATCAGCGCATACGCCATCCCGCTCTTGTACGACGCGATGAACGAGGTGTATGCGCTTGGCACGGTGCTCTTCCCGCCGTCCGAGTCCGGGTCTCCTGGGATCGACCCGGACATCGTCCACAAGACGCTCGTGAACACGTCGCGGCTGCACGCGCGTCCCGAGGCGAACCATCGCGCGAGCACGCTCGTGGACGTCGAGAATGGCCGCCCGACGGAGGTGGAAGTCATTCTCGGTGAACTGGTGAGAATGGGCCGCCGGGAGGGCGTGCCGATGCCGGTGAGTATCTTTAGCTTCTATGGGTAGGAGTGTACCTGATTGTCTTCTGTAGAGGATTGAGACGTTCTATGCGTTAATGTTGATCATTCAAAACCAACTCCTGCAGCAAAAGAAGGCATCCTTGTGAACGTATAATACGAATGTAGCTCTGCATTATGGTTGGAACTTATACGCTTTTTGATTACTTGTCCTCCTGTGTAGCCGGGGTCAATGCTTTTTGCTCATCGGTCTGTCTGTGAAGGGCGTATGCATGGACCACTTTGTTCGTTCATTGTCCCCTTGTTATACAAGGCAAGCGAAAAGCAACGTCAGCGAGCCACTAGTAGCCGCGAACTTCGAGTTCCTCCCAGTACTACTACTAAGTACAAACTACTAACACAAAATCTCGCACATCACACACGGGCACAAAGAACTACCTACTAATACACGCGGCACACACGACAAATCCCAAGCACCGAAGCAACAAAGACATCACACAACACACATCAAAACTACCACGCGCATCAATCTATCTAGGGATTAATAGCAACAATGACGGGGCCATCCATTTCGGGACGGGGCGGGCGGGGGCGAATCATCGCGTTGACCTGCCTCCGCGCAAAGTTTACTCTCCGCTCGAGATTCCGCAGCTTTCTGCTGCGCTCCCTTTCCTCAGTCCGGATCTCCTCCCTCTCTCGCCTGTTCTCCTCCTTCAGGAACTTGCGTAGGCCAGCGGGGTCCCCCTGCAACAAACGAACATGACGCGCGTCAGCATGCGCAGCCGAGAACAGGATCGCAGAAGGGGGGACATTACCCGGAAGCGTTCGAACGGGTCATCTTTTATGTCACAGACTTTTTTTGCCAGCTCGATGATTTCCCGAGTGTCCTCGGCCTGCATATGCGGGATGCATTTGTGAGAAAATGTACATCGAATCAGCTGGATGGACGCAACGTACATCAAGCACGTGGCCGGGCCTCAACATGTACGAAGGAACCCTGACATGGAGGGGAACGGTCCTTTTGCGCTTGGGTCTCCGAATGTTCCCATCTGCATTGTTGTGTGCCGTTGGATTCGGAGCGGCTTGGGAGGGACCTGGGGCAACGGGACTCGCTTGGCTCGAACTCGCGACGTTGGGAGCAGCAGTGCTCGGACCTGCGTGAACAGGGCTCGCCTGCCTTGGTTGAGCACTGTTACGACCAGCCGCGTTCATGCTGGCTATATTTTTTGCTGCGTGTCCAGTGCTAGAGCTCGCTTGGCTCGAACTTGTGGCGCTGGGAGCAGCAGTGCTCAGATTTGTGCGGACAGAGTTCGCTTGCCTCGATCCACCTCTGCGACAACCGGCTGCTCTCGAGCTAGATACACTGGAAGTTGCATCACCCGTGCTAGAGCTTGCCTGTCGTGAGCTTGCGCCGCGCCTGCTTGCTTTTCTGGAAGCTTTGTTCCTCGACGTCGTGCTGCCCGTTGATGGTCTGCTCGCATCTGGTTCTTGTGGAGGTGCAGATATCACCGCGCTCGACACGTGCGAAGTTGCCGGTTGTTGGCTGGGGCTACGCCTGCTTACATCTGGCGCTTGTGGAGACACAGATACCACCGCGCTTGATGCATGCGAGGTTGCTGGCTGTGGGCTGGGGCTACACCTGCTTGCACCTGGCTCTTGGGGAGCAGCAGAAGCCGTCGCGCTCGACGCATGCGAAGTTGCTGGCTGTGGGCTGGGGCCACGTCTGCCTGCATCTAGTTCTTGTGAAGGTACAGGTGCCGTCACGACCAACGCATGCGAAGCTGCTGGTTGTGGGCTGGGGCTACGTCTGCTTGCACCTGGCTCTTGTGGAGGCGCAGCTGTCGCCGTGCTCGACGCATGCGAAGTTGCTGATTGCTGGCTGGGACTGCGTCTGCTCGTATCTAGCGCTTGTAGAGATGCAGACACCTCCGCGCTCGTCGCATGCGAAGGGCCAAATCTGCTTGCGCCTGGCTCTTGGGGAGCAGTAGAAGCCGTCGCGCTCGACGCATGCGAAGTCGCTGGCCGCGGGCTGGGGCTACGTCTGCTTACATCTGGCTCTTGGGGAGCAGCAGAAGCCGTCGCGCTCGACGCATGCGAAGTTGCTGGCTGTGGACTGGGGCTACGTCTGTTTGCAGCTGGCTCTTGTGGGGGCGCAGGTACCGTCGTGCTCGACGACTGCGAAGGTGCTGGCTGTTGGCTGGGGCTACGTCTGCTTGGGCCTGGCTCTTGTAGAAGCACAGGTGCCATCATGTTCGACGCGTTCGAAGTTGCTGGCTCTTGGCAAAAACTCCATCCGCTCACGTCTGACTCTTGTGGAGCTGCAGGTGCCATCGCGGCAGACACGTCGGGTAGGTCCCATTGACGTGCAATGGAGGGGAGATATTCGTCGATGGGTGCCACCGCTACTACCGCCGAGGTCGCGTTCGCCTTGTTTAAAGACGTCGGTTGCTATGTAATGGAGGCTACATCAGTTCACCTGTCTTGCAGTCCTACCCATCACGTACCTCTGTCCTGACTTGCGATGCTGCTTTAATGTCCTGTGATGGACGCGCTAGCACAGTCACGTGCGGCATGTGTGAATATATGAATTCCTGAGCAGTGGAGATTAGAT